TTTCAATGTTGCAATCTTTGTAGCGCACGGCTCAAAGTATGCTAGTGCGAAAGCCGGCACGCGACATGTTGAGGAACTTGAACCGGACACTGAACTAATCTGAACCTCTGACTAAGACCTAAATCTCATCCTTAAATGCTATAGAATCCCTTATCCCTAAACCTCAAGACACCGACATACCTTAATTAAGGAATATACCTTAAATCATATTAGGGATCCTACTAGAAATTTACGGTATATTCCTTGTATAGGGGATATTGGAGTCTCTGGGTCCATTCGCCTCAGGCTGTTGGCAAGATGATGCAAGTCTCTGGATAGAGGGGGAGAAGGCAAGACAGGGGCAACGAAGGCTAAATCCTGACCTAAATCCGAAACGCCCTACATCCTAAACCCTACACCGATAACCCTACATCCTGTCTTTCTCCCCCTTCACGTGAACCACGGCGAGGGAAGCAGCTACATCAGCTTTTTAAGCTGACTCTTCTGCCTGCCGCGGGCACCTGGAGATCCCAATTGCCCCTTAAGTCGTACGCTTAGAGGTTTGGGCTGGCTTAGGGTTTAGTAAGTTGCGTTACAGGTCCATATACCTAGGGTTTCTTCATTATAGTGCTTGAGTAAAGAGTATTTTTTATGCTTACAAACACTTACAAGCCATAAACCCTAAACCCCTGTGCCCTCAACCCTAAACTCTGATCCCCCAACCCCGAATCCTGAACCCAACACCCGAATCTGTAACCCCTAAACCCCCACTTTGGCCCAAAAAACATGTAGAATAAAAGCCTTTTGGAAGTGTTGGCCCGTTAATTTACGTACTTTGGGGGTTTAGGCAAGCCCGAAACCTAAACCCTGAACCCTAACCCTAAACCGTGGCTGTAAGCCTTTAAGCCCTAACAAAGAGGGGTAGCCTGGGCTCTCCAGGAAATCTGCAACAAGACCTGCGGCCTTCTACGCCTCCGGCCGGATTCAGAGACGTCTCGGTATGGCCATGGGTCATGAAATTTACGGTTTCGGGCTTTAGGGTGGTTGCCTGAAGGGTCTTAGGGTTATTTAGGGGTTTTAGTGTTTTCTGAGTTTTTAGGGCTTTTAGGGTTTAGGGTTTGCGGTTCTTAGGGGCTTAAGGTTTGGGTTTCGGGGCAAGGGCAAGGTCTTAGGGTAGTAGGGTTCAGGGCTAGGTAGATCCGCTTGGAGCCGAATAGCTTCCTTCTGGGGACCTCGCGGTCCTGGGCCTAGATGAGTCTGCGCGTGCTGGATTTTTTGAACCTTGTCTAATCAGTGCTATTGGGGGTTCCCTTGGCTCTTTAGCTCCTTCTTTAAAAGGGGTTTTCATCATCCCTGGCTCCTTAGCTCCCGCAATATCAATGGATAGTTGCTGCATGGTTATATGGGTATGTTGTGACAACTGGCAACATTCCTTGCTAGGGATATGCACGGTCTAAACAACGAAGCTTCTGCCCCCGACATCCCTCAACCCTACCCAAAACTCAGCTGCAAAGCACTATGGTCCATGTCTTAAGCTTCTTCTGAACAGTGCAGGATTTAGCCTTGTAACAGGTTATTTCGGCAACAGTGAGTTAGACACACTTCCACTCCTGACCTCATTCTTCCCGTTCGCGCTTCCACTTTGGATTTCCCTTGCGTTTAATCTTCCGGTTGTGTTTCTGGTTGGGTTTTCCTTTCCGTTTACACTTCAGTTGTGGTCTCCACTCCCGTGGTCACTTCCATTTCGGCTTCCATTTGTTTCGGGTCTTCTTCTGTGGCCTCAATTCACCATCCAGATATGATGCTCAAGAAGCAAATTTTACACTCCGGACTGGGGGCCAACCGCTGTACATTGAAATTCGACGCAAGCCACTGTAGCCGACAACTAGCACGGACCCAATTACTATTGTGCGTCCGAAACCGATGCCTGAACGCGAAAAATGATTCTGAAATCGGAACCTGGAATCCGAAGAGGAACCCGAAACGGAAAGTCCGGCAGCACCAGAACCCAAACACGGTAAATCCGCGACCGTCCAGAAATGAAGCGGCAATCCGAGCAGCACCTGAAACCAAACCGGAAGCGGAAACAGTAAATCCGGGACCCTCCAGAAATTGGAAAACATAGAAAACACAGTGTGTTTACTGTTTTTTTTTCGGTTCTGAGCCCGAAACCCAGGGCTTTGGGCTCCGAACCGGAAAAAAACGGTAAACACACTGTGTTTTCTGGCTTTTTCGATTTCTGGAGGGTCCCGGATTTACCGTTTCCGCTTCCGGTTGAGTTTCTGGTGCCGCCGGGCTTTCCGTTTCGGGTTCCGCTTCGGATTCCCGTTCCGGTTTCTGCATCCGTGTCAGATGCCCTACCGGTTCCGTTTCGCGTTCGGACGTCGGTTTCGGAACCCACCCCGAGCCCTACCCAGGGTCAATGGGCCGAGTGGGGAACGACCGGTGGTGCCGGAGGTAAGGCGTGGGTGTGCTGGCAAGCCATAAAGTGCCCTGCAGCGTCGGCATGGTTTACCAACCTGCAAAGACACAGAACAGACTACCAACCTGCAATGGCATAGAAGACACTACCAGGGAAAACGGAAACCTGAACTGAAGCGAAATCTACACCGGAACCCCGAATGGAAGCACGAACGGAGCCGAACAAGCAAGTGGAAAACTAGATGGAAACGAAAACGGAAGACCCTGGAGAAGTGGAAGACAGAACGGAAACAAAACGGAAACAGAAACGGAAGATAAAAAACAGCTTGTTCCCGAATTGCCTGTCACAGATTTAGCCAAGCATCAGTACAGGTTTGAACATTTCGAGGTCTCGAGAGTCTGGCACCCTAAACCCTAAACCCTAAACCCTAGTCTGGAGTGTAGACTTTGTTGGACGGTTGAGGGTTTCAGTGTTGTAAAGCCTTCCGGGATCCAGGTTTACGGTACACCTTTGGACAAGGGTTCACAAGATATGCACTCTAAAACACTTTAACCCCTAAAACCAAAGCGACCCTAAGACCAACGCCCCCAAAGCCCTCAACCCGAAATCTCAGCGCCCAAAGCCCTCAACCCCAAACCCGAAGTCCCAAAACCCTAAACCCTAAACCTCAAATCCTAAGCCCCTAAACCCTAAACCCTAACCTTAAATCCTAAACCCCTAAACCCCAAAACCCTAAACCTTAAATCCTGAGCCCTGGCGCTTTTGGGGCTAGTTGTTGTGATTGGCTCAAGAGACGCTCTCCCCGTGCCCAGAGACTCCTGTGTCCCTTGGTTTCGATTTGGGTTTATAGGGTTTATAAGGGTTAGGGTTTTGTGGTTTAGGATTTGAGGTTTGAAGGTTTAGGGATTTTTGGTTTAGGATTTAGGGTTTTAGGGTTTAGGGTTTTGGGGTTTAGGCCCCAAGGGTCCAAAGGACCCAATAATTAGGTACTCTGTTTTAGGATAGTAGTTACGTAGGTTAGGATTTCGCAGAGTATATGCTTATTAGGTACTTGGACCCTTGGTTTATGGTCTAGAAGTTTAGCTTTAGGGTTTAGGCTGTAGGGTACCAGGCAGAGGCTTCTCTTAACCTAAGCCGCTTAAATACTAACACAGTAATTGTGTGGTGAGTTTGATGGTACTATTACTAATATTGAAAAGCTTAACCAAGTACAGCTATTCGGGTACTGACAGAGAACCTTACCTTAGTTGCTAAGTTCATAAACCCCCTAAAGTGTACACTTTCAGTTTTATAGTGTGTAATATTATCCCAAGAAGTGTAAAGTGTATCCACTCAGCCGCTAAGATACTAGCACTGTAGGATTGATAAGGTGATCTGGGAATCAACTCTGGAAGAGACACGGTGAGCCTCGGGGGTGCCAGGAACCCTTGGAGTTTCTGGCGACTGCGAATGACCGGCCCCGCAACATCAATTCTGCGCTTGGGCGCATCAGAGATCAGGACATGCAAAGGTTTAGGGTCTAGGTTTAGGGTGACAAGCAACACGCCGCTGCAAGACCGAAGGTGTATATTGCTCAGGGGGTAAGCTTGTTGAACATCGTCGTGGGCTTGGACTGCAGGTGAGATTTGATAGTCTTTTGTGGGGATATATCATGACATGACAAGCCTCAATCTAGGCACCCAGTGTGGCAAATCCAGGTCCGTGAATGCAAGCACAGTTGCTTTGCAACGGAGGCTTGCGGGAAATGTCTGGCCGAGCCACAAATGAAGATGATTCAGACAAGTGCAGCGTAATGCTGCCATGCCCCGTCCCAAGATCACTTAGCTGCGGAAGCTGGATGTGAAACCTTCCATACGCGCGGAGAACTGTGGAAGAACCCAAAAAGAAACCCATGGGCTGGTGGCTTAGGGCTTAGGGCTTATGGTTTGGGCTTAGAGCTTAGGGACTCTAGTCCGAAACAAGTGCGCAACAGCTGGCCTGGCGGTTTAGGGTTGAGGGTTTAGGGTTTAGTATGCAACATCTGGTCTGAGATTCGTATATTTTTCTTTCTGATTGTGAGAAGCCGCGGACTCCTTCTCTGTAGGAGAAAGGAAGCCAATCAATATCTTGAGGAGTGCCTGGCTTCGAGCTCTACTATAGGGGCCTGAATAATTAGATTAGGGCTCTGGGGCCCTTCATACTGTACAAAAAAGGAATCCCCAAAATAGTATACGTGATTATCAAGACCCGTACATTACCCCAGACATTATACCATAGTCATAATAAGGAAGATGCCAAAATAGTATTGGAAATTATCTAGGCCCCTATATTACCCCACGCTGATGGCCCTAACCCTGATGCTCTTTTGCTCTGGAAGATTCAGCGATAAGAAACTGTAAGGGTGGGGCTCATGACGTGCTGCTAGATTTCGATAGCCTGGTGATGATCCTTCCAAGCTATTGAAAACATTAGTATCTTTCGGAGTTTTGGGTGTTTGACCCAAAACCCTAAACCCGAAGCCCCTGAGCCCCGAAGCTACGCAGTTTAGGGTACTGCAAGTCAGGCCGAAGATGCGAGCTGCAACCTGTGGCCCTGAAGCAGGAAAGACCTTGCCTTTGGATCAAAGCGGTGTTCGCGCAATTGCCTGTCAAAACGACCGAGGGGACGTGCTCGCGCAGGGAGTTTCGAAAATTAAGGACCGAAATAATTACCGGACGCAGCAGGATCCTGATTCCAAGGACCCTAAATACCGTGCCGTAAGTCAGGCAACTCCTCCCTCACTTCGGGATGTAGACTGCTCACACACGGACACATCGAAAACTTGACATCAAGCCAAACGCCTTGAAAATACATGCCGATCCGACATACAGGAAGCAGGAATCAGAAGCAGAACTCACAAGCTAAAACTGAGCAAGGGCCTTGTCTTATTCGCTGCTATGGGTGCCTTCTGTATTCAAGATTTAGAAACAATATGCAACCTGCACAACAATGGTACAGAACCATGTAGGAATCCACAAACCTTATTGAGATCTTTGCCTCGGGGAAGCTGTGCTCCTGGCCCCGGGGTAAAATACAGGGGCCTCAATATCTAGAAAGGGCTTATCTCTAGCCATTACTACAACCACTACCTTCTACTACTACTACTACTACTACTACTACTACTACTACTACTACTACTACTACTACTGCTACTACTGCTACTACTGCTACTACTGCTACTGCTACTGCTACTGCTACTGCTACTGCTACTGCTACTGCTACTGCTACTGCTACTGCTACTGCTACTGCTACTACTAGTACTACTACTACTACTACTACTACTACTACTACTACTACTACTACTACTACTACTACTACTACTACTACTAGTACGACTACTACGACGACTACGACTACGACGACGACTACTACTACTACTACTACTTCTTCTTTTTCTTTTTCTACTACTACTACTACGACGACGACTACTACTTCTTCTGTTACTTCTCCTACTACTACTACTACTACTACTACTCCTCCTGCTACTACTACGGTTGAGAATAAAAATCCTGCCTTACCCAAATGACCCTACACTATGGGAACATTGGTATATTCCTTATAATGGGTAATGCAGGATTTGTATCATCAACCGTACTACTACTACTACTACTACTACTACGACGACGACTACCACAACCACCACCACCACCACCACCACCACTACTACTACTAGTACTACTACTACGACAACTACTACGACGACGACGACTACGACTACGACTACGACTACGACTACGACAATTACGACTACGACTACTACTACTACTACTACTACTACTACTACTACTACTACTACTACTACTACTACTACTACTAATTACTACTCTTGAGTGATTCAGTGATCATCTCGGATAGCATATGGGCCGTAATTATTACAAGATGGCTCGGAGTCACCTTATAGCCTTAATATCAACAGGAGAAATAAGGGTTCTCTGGAGCCAAAGAACGGAAAACATAAAACGGATAATTAGACCCCTATATGCGTAGCGCCCTTGCCATAGCCGGCCTCGCTGATGCCTCGTGTGACTTTGTCTACGCGCCCCTGGCGGGCTTTCACGTTTTGCAAGGACTTGTCTTCCGGATAAAAGAGTTTAAGGGTTTAGGGGCTTAGGGTTATTAGGGCTTAAGGGTTTAGGGTTTAGGGCTTAGGGTTTTGGGTATAGAGGTTTAGGGTTTAGGGGTTTAGGGTTTAGGGGTTTAGGGTTTAGGGTTTAGGGGTTTAGGGGTTTAGGGGTTTAGGGGTTCAGGGGTTTAGGGGTTTAGGGTTTAGGGTCCAGGGATGGGTTTCGTACCGTGCTCATATAGGGCTCTATGTGAGGCATACACTGAATGCATCAGGGAACTTGGCAACGAGGCTTACAGTCAAGAGAACTCCGCTTGACTTGTAACCCGACTTACTACACTTATAACCATACGTCTGGAGGACAAACTTCAATCTCAAAACCCGGGACTTTGTCCTAAACGCAAACGGTTGCATTCCCCTAGTCCGTCTAGCCAAGAATGTAAACCTACAGAAGGGTTTCGGTCAAGGGTTAAGATTTAGAGACCCCGGTCCGAGGGGGAGTATGTCGTATGTGTGGGAAGGCATCGAAATGAAAGTACGGAAGAGCTAAGCTCTGGACGGAGGGTAATATAGGGTTCTATAATAGGGCTCCTTAAAGGGATCTATAGGGGTTCTAAAATGGGGATCATGGGACTTAGTAAGGTAGCTTTGGGAGGTCGGTGTACCACGGAAAGGTCTTTGAGCTGCTTCGGGCTTTGAAATGCTGTGCCGGCTTCCAAATAGAGCTGAGACAAACTGCCGGTGGGCTTAAGGTTTTGGGTCTAGGGTACAGCCAAATCCCCCGCCGCGGCGTTCTCACCCTTAACCCTGGACCGCGCTTGGGCTTCAGGGAGCACCTCAAGCCCTGATCTCGCTTGCAACGTGTTACAATCCGAGCATGTCTGGAGACCCCCACCATATAACTACCCATGAAGTTTCCCGCATCTCGTCTAGAAATCCATGCATGCCTATTCCGAGAAATCCTGAATCCTGCATCCTAAACTCCTAGGCCACCAACGCAATCTAACACTTTTCCCGCAAGGATGCCTTCACCTTGGATTTCTCTTCCTCTGCAGGATTGACCTCTTTCTCCCACATGTCCTGCAACGGTAGGTGTTTGCCAGTCTCTTGAATGCCAACCTGGAGTGGACATCCTTACTTGGAGGATCACGGGACTTAGTAAGTACAGTTATAAGTACCTTAATGGGGGTTATAAGTAGTTATAAGTATAGTTACCTTACTTTTAACCCTAGTTACTAAGTACCATGAACCTCTAAGTACCTAACCCAAATTTGTTCTATAGGATCCTAACTATAAAACTGGTTTACAGAAAAAAACAAAGAACTACTACGGAGACAATAGGTAAGCCCCGAACCCTAATTCAAACCTAAACCACGTCTGAGCAGGCAACTCATTGACGGCAGGAAGGAAGGACCGAAGAAACGAAGGAAGGAAGGAACGAACGAACGTACCACAAAAGCACGGGAGGGAGGGTTTATGAATCCGAGAGAAGTCTCCCCGTCGACACGGCAAGATAAGCCGCTCGAACACTATGCGTATGGGTGGTTGTCAAAATTATGGTTCCCTTTGGGGTACCCTAAATATTAGGTGCCGTATTATAGCAAGGACCCAAAAAGTGACCATAATTTTGACAACCACCTCTATGCGTCGTTGGTGTCTCTTACTTGCAGCTGCAGCTTTTGGAGCTTCTATTGGAGCTGTGGGTGCCCATCTTTAGTATTATATACTACTACTAGTAATATAGACTACTATTCGTAATATATACTACTATTAGTAATATAGACTACTATTCGTAATATATACTATCAGTAACAGTATGAGTTATTAGGGGCCTTCTGAACCATAGCGCGACTTGATTCATCGAATGGGTTTCAGGGGCTCCGGATGGTTCAAGGTTTTTAGGTTTTAGCCCTACTCTAGAGCAACCCAGGTTTCAGGTTTGAGCCTCAGCAAGATTCTCCTGACATGGTTTAAACTTTAGACTTAGAGAGACTCTTGGGAGTCTATGCCGGCGGTGACTTGGCCCAGCCGTCTATCTCCAAGAGAGTTTAGACTTTAGGGTTTAAGCTCATAACCCAGGGACCCTGTCTCCTGCCAATTGGTAATGTTCTGCGCCAGGTTGCTACCCATCCTGGCTCAACGGTTCCCTAAGCCCCGAATCCAAAAGGATGAACTCAGCTCAATCTATCGCGTTCAGGGCTCCATTAGAGCTTGGAGTTTATCATAGCTGAGGGTTCGATGAGGTCTACTCAAAGTAATCGAGCTCATAGGGCTTGCTGTAGGGCTTGGTTTTACAGTGAGGCGCTCATACCCACTTGAAGGATCATGGGACTTAGTAAGTAGGTTATAATTGGGGTTATAAGTCCCCTAAGTGGGGTTGTCCTAATTATAACCTACTTATAACCTTACCTACTAAGTCCCATGAGCCTTTAAGTAGACCCTAAACCCTAAACCTTTATTATAGAACCCTAGAGTACCCTTTAAAGGGAACCCTAAGCCCTTACTTACTAAGTCCCATGAGCCTTTAAGCAGGGTTTTTCCTTCTGGGTCTCCAAGTTCGGGATTGAAGGATCTCGTTCGACTGCGATCCGAAAGGATGTTGAGCATGGCTGGGAAAGTTAGGGTTTATGGTTTTCTTTTTTTTGAGTTCCTTTTTGATGTCTGCTAGGGTTTATGGTTTAGGGTTTTTGGTTTAGGGATAGTGGCTCCAAAATCCGGCTGCTGGCGCCAATTGCCTACAGATTCCAGTGATATTGGGCGATCAGTTTCCAGTGTTTTGTAGCGTTGAGACTACAGGTAAGCACTGTCACCCAGACCGTAAAGCGGAGCCACCACACGGACTCCGAAAAGGATCCTCAATCTAAGGGAAATTTAGAGCTTTTGCTTTGGAAAGCGAGTGTTTCATGCAGGAGCCGGGTATAGCAGCCTGGTAGCGTTGCCAGTGTGAGCAGTCCCCTAGCCCTAGACCCAAGACTCTCAATTCAAAACCCCACGGCCCAAAACCCTGAATGTGTGTTCCATGCCACGAGCGCGAGCCGATAGTCTAAGACATCAGCCCTAACCTGAAAACGCAAACAGTACGGTTCCGTGTTCTGGAGCTTCGGGCGCAAGGGTTTAGAAGACGCACTGTAGTATACACTATCTGGGGTCTGCGCCGGTATTGAATTCATTCTTCTTCGGCTTACAGCAAACATAGAGGTTCGATGACAATATTCGCTTCTAAATCTCACCTGTTAGACTCCCAAGACCTGAAACCAAACCCGAAAGGGTATCGCACATGGAGGCTTGGGAGACGTTTTGTAGGAGGGTCCTCCTTAGATTCCAAGCAGGTCCGTATATACTACTATTATGGAGCTGGTCCTTTGGGACCTAATTCCATCATGGTAGTACACATGGACCCGCACGGGTTGTAGGTACCATGAGAACTAACGCAGCTACGATACTTATACCTGCAACCTGCTTCTCTAATCCTCTGAGCCTACGTCTTACACCTCGCAGCCCTGCCCTTTAGGCACCTATAGCACTCTGAGTGCCAGGCTCATGCAAGTTCGGCCACAACCGAATTTGCGCAACGAAGAAAGGTGAGATCATAAACCTCACGCGACGCTCTTGGGCTGCATCAGACCGCTGCGGGGTTGCCACTATGTTTCGGGAATACAGACTGATACTACTGTAGGCTATAGAGCTCCAAGAACATGTCTGCAGGTCCCTAAACCCTACGCCCTACATCCTACTCCCCACGGGATTTCAGGCTCCACATGCCGTAAGCTTACCTATAACCTGCGACAGGGTTGTGACAGTCTGCGGTTCAGGCAGGAGTTTTGGCTTTGCTGTAAGGGTGTAGGGTTGAGGGTTTAGGGTTTGGATAGGGTTTAGGGTTGGTTCAGGGTTCAAGGGATTGAGTTCTGCCCTGGACGCGAAACCAGGCTAAAACCAAAACCCTTGTCCTACAGTACAGCCACGCCTGGACCAAGAAATGCTGAGCTCCTAACGAGACTTTCTGCCTAAATCTCGAAGGAGCGAAACATCAAAAAATTGAAGGCCAACATGCTACCGTAGCTTAAGAACCTAGGGCCCTGCTCAACACTCAGGAGATGAAAGTGTTCCGGGTTTAGGGTTGAGATCCTGGTTTACAGGTTTAGCTCATGAAATTTAGGGCTCCCTGGGTATTCGGGATCGCAGGGTTCAGGGCTTTGGTTGTCAATGCACAAGCCTTGACGAACAAGGCCTGTAAAGTATAAGCCCGAGCGGCTTCAAGCAAGAAAGCCAAGGAATGTAACAAAAACGACACACACTTCAGGCGTAGCAGACACAACGACGGAACAATAGAAGGTTGCAAAAGGAACTAGCAAGGAGAACACACCTATCAAAACTGCTGGTCAAAAACACATGCACATATAGGGACAACAGACACCAAACCCCCTCAACTTCCCTCAACCTTGACCCTGAAACCTTGCCCCAAGACCCTATTCCCAACGCCCCAGAAACTAAAACCGTCAAGCCCCAAAACCCAGAAGCCTATTAAGTACCAAGAGCGAAAACCTTCAAATCCTAAGACACCAGAAACTTAAACCCAAAGACAGCCGCCCAACTAAGCAGCCATTTCTGAGGGCCGTCAATTAGTAAACCCCACAACCCCAAATCCCAAACCCTAAACCCTAAATCCTAAACCCTACACCCTAAATCCTAAACCCCGCAACCCTAATCCCAAAGTTCTTAAGTCCAAAGCGGGCCCTTGCTGAGGCTCTCGGCTCGATAAAGCCTATCTGCGAGTTTGGCTTGTTGAGCTTGTCACGGTCGTTCAAGAACTGAACCTGCAGAAGAGCGTGTTTTTCAACGAGGGTTGTAAACAATAATCGTTCAAGAAATGAACCTGCCAGTTGAGGTTAGGGTTTAGGGTTATTCGGATTTCAGGCTTAGGCTTTAAGGTCTCGGGTTTAGGGTTCAGGCCAGGGTTTCTCGTTTCAAGCTTTGGGCTTTAGGGTTTCGGATTTCGGCTTTAGGGTTCAGGGGGTTCAGGGCTTCGAATAGGGTTTAGGGTTTAGGGTTTAGGGTTTAGGGTTTAGGGTTTAGGGTTTAGGGTTTAGGGTTTAGGGTTTAGGGTTTAGGGTTTAGGGTTCAGGGGGTTCAGGGCTTCGAAATGTCAACGCTTCGTGCTTTCCTTCAGGGCCGGCGTTTCTGTGCCTCGGATCGACGGCTTCCTTCATAATTCGAACAGGCGGTATCGGGTCGAGTATACTACGTTACTACGCATAGTGATACTAGGGCACCCTCAGGATTTGTATTACTAGCTTTCCATACGATGCTTCTGAGTTGGCCGTGACAGAGTTCGGGGCGTAGTGTTCGGGATCTGGGATTTTGTGCGAGGGCTTGTATACAGCTCCCGTACCTGTAAACACAAAGAACATGTCTAAACTATACTAGAAACCGCAAGGAACCATATCAGAAACCACTCCGGCCCGCGTATTCTGGTGGTATCATGTCCGATCTAACCCCAAGTATACCAACCCTGGGGTGAGAACCCGACACTCGCAGTTCTTGGGGCCCATCTTGCACTAGGAGTTTGTATTTAGTGCAGGTCCGGGTACGGCCAGAAGAACCTTCGTTGGGGGTTCAGAACTTTGGAGAAACCCTGTTATAGATATAAGGTGTAAGTGTAAGTTATTGGGGCTAAGACTAAGAAGGTCGTTGGTGAGGTTGGAAGCACGTCTGAGATTGTTCTCTATAGATCTACAGCTTTCATGCTTACTAAGTAATCTGATCCTGAACTAGGGCTAAGTGGATTGTCTGTGCTCATGACAACTCCATTAAAACACTGGCTGTAATATTACTATGATCACTACTACTGCCACTACTACTACTACTGCTACTACTACTACTACTACTACGACGACGACTACTACCACCACCACCACCACCACTACTAGTACTACTACTACTACTACTACTACTACTACTACTACTACTACTGCTACTACTGCTACTACTGCTACTACTACTACTACGACGACGACGACTGCTGTTGCTATTGCTATTGCCATTTCTACTTCTACTGCGCTTTCTGAGACTGTCACTATGACTATCACTATGACTTGCGCTATGACTATTACTAATACCATTACTATTCCTGTTCTCTTTACTTTTACTATTACTTGGTATTGCTGTTACAACTACGGTTACTATTGCAGTTGCCATTACCGTTGCAATTACACTTGCTAGACGATTGCAATTACAGTTACTTTTACTCTTGAAGTTACGATTACGATTACGATTGCAAACAGACCCCTAAACCCTAAACCCTAAAACCTTAAACCCCTAAACCCTCAACCCCTCAACCCCTAAAACCTAAACCCCCAAACCCTAGACCCTAAACCCTAAACCCCTAAACCCCTAAACCCCTAAACCCCAAACCCTAAACCCCTAAACCCTGGGCTGCCATATTACCCCCTAACCATCGAACCTTCGATGCTCACCTTTCAGGTCCTCGGTCAGCCTCCCAGAAACCCTAAACCCCTGCAGCTGAGGACCCCGGCAGGGATGCCCAAAACCTTCTCCTGGTCGCCCTGAGCGAAGAACTCCTCCAAGCAGACCATGGCCCAGTCCTCGGGTTTAGGGGTTTGAGGCCTTTTAACTTAGGAACTTTGGGTTTAGGGTTTAGGGTTTAGGGGTTTAGGGTTTAGGATTTAGGGTTTAGGGGTTTAGGGGTTTAGGGGTTTAGGGGTTTAGGGTTTAGGGGTTTAGGGTTTAGGGGTTTAGGGTTTAGGGGTTTAGGGGTTTAGGGTTTAGGGGTTTAGATCCCAATATCCCTTAATTAAGGAATATACCTTAAACATAATATTAAGGTCTCTACAATTTATGTAAACCCCATAGAGTTGGAAACCGGATTAAGGCCAAATAGTGCTGAGATTACCTATACACTACTCTTAAGGATTGAGGCTACTGGGTTTCCAACTTTTGGGCCCAGTCCTCGGGTTTAAGGATTTTAGGGCTCAGAAAGGGTTCCTTTAAGGGTTCTAGAGGGTTTCTGTTTTTGGGGTTTTGGTACCTTTGGGGTTTAGGGATTTAGGGGTTTAGGGCTTAGTCCTCGAGTTCAGGGTAGGGTTCCTTTAAAGGGGTCTATAAGGGGTACTATAAGGGATTGAAAATCATCGTTCATCTCGTTGGGGTTCAGGGCATCCTGCCCTTCCAAACCAGTAGCCATGGATCTCTCGTAGGGATGCAGTAGTCCGAGGATCAATACCGCAGGAGGAATTCAACCATGGGCTTACGCTGGCAGGAACTCGAATTTTCACAACGCACAAAACAGATGCAAGCTTCTGTAAGCACTACACTTCTGCCGATCATGGCATGTGTCTATACATGCTGTGCTTATGCCAGTCGTGGCAAGTGTCTATACATGCTGTGCTTCTGCCAGTCGTGGCGAGTGCGCATGTCATGCCGGATTATGGAGCTCAGCTCCGCTTTAGCCTTCAAGGCTTGAGATACTCAGATGTGGATTCATGAAGCTACAACCCTGCCATGGTTAGGCTAGGGGAACTCAACACTCCTCCTTGAGAGGTCTACTCCTTCAGAGTGATCTCTCACTACCCGAGTCCCCGTTGCCGCATATTCATCAGACAGTAACGGCAGAGCATCCTACGGTGAGTACTAGACACCGACCGCAGTGCTTGGCAATCGGGGAATATGTGAAGGACCCCAGGGGTCCTGGCGCTACTCGTAATGAATTCGACTTCACTAAGTTGCTCATTCGTCAGACCAGTCAGACTATTAGTCTGGACTCCGACATCACGCGAACAGACTCTCCGAGATCCCTCAGTTTCAACCCTTCTCTCATCAAACCTTTGAGGTGGTAAGGGAGGAGGACTCGGAGCGTTAGTACGGGTCGCAAGTCCAAGTGCAGACAATCCATCAGAGGAAATGGAGGTGCTAGGCTGAAAGGATGATGAACTCTCTCCTCCTGCTGTTGAGGGAGTGGAGGCTGACGGCAGATGTACATGAACATGGGCTGAGGCACTGGGGTTATACGTGGGAGGTGGTGGTGGAACAGTCTCCTCCTCAATCGGAGGGGTCGCTTCAGGTCCTTGAGAGAGCTGGTCAGCTGTCTCCCTTTCTATAATCCGTCTTACCGCCTCCTGCCTTCTTTGCCTGCGGTGGCTGCTTTCATCATCTGTTGCACGCACGGTCGCCACAGTGTGTTCTCTAGGCTTGGCCTGCCACAACTCCCTTAGGCAGTGTTTTCCTAGTTCCCATATGAACAGCACCGTGCACGCTAGCATTGCTGCCACAAAGTAAAGATCTAGACTCACACCCTCGACCTCCTCATCATCTTGGGATGCTGCTGGCACCACTTGAGTCATCATCAATGCCAAGATCAGAAGGACACTTTGCCCCTCTGTCGGATCAAGGTGATTGAAGGCACGGGCAGTGGTCATCACAGCTTGCACCGCCGGATCTGCAGATGGTGGAAGGCCTAAACCCAACATCTCACTAAGATCATTAAGGCGGGGCGCGGGTAAAGCCTTGGTCAAGGCGTCTGCAAGTTGGATTTCTCCTGGACAGTGTGTAATCTGAAGCTTATTTCTATCCAGTTGCTCTCTCAGGTAACCTGCCCTCACCCTTAAGTGCCTTGTTCTCTGCGACCCACCACCCTCGGCTAAGGTGATTGCAGCCATGTTATCTACATGTAACACCTTTGAAACCGGACTGTCCCAAAGCTCGTCCACCAGCGCTTCTACTGACTGTCCCAAAACTACACCTTCAGTTGCTGCAATCAGCTCACACTCCGCCGTGCTCAAGCTTATCAGGGTTTGCTTGCGAGATTTCCAATGAACACACCTCCCATCTAGCAACACTGCAATCCCTGATATTGATCGCTCACTATAAGGTGCAAAGGACGCATCTGTGAAGATTGCCAAAGAGCCCGCTCCGTTGGGAACCATAGACAATCTCAACGCCTTAGTGTTGGATAAGTAACCCAGTACTCGAAGGCCCAGCTTCACCACGAAAGATGGTGAGCGAACTGCCCAGCTGGACATCAAGCCTACACTGAAGCATATGTCTACTCTGGTCCTTTGCGAAACCCAAAGTAACTCCCCGGTGATCCTTTGTGCTTCTCTGAGCGTCTGGGTTGCGAAGCCACGCTCCTCCGGTGGCTGGTCTTTCACCCAGTCCTTTGGTACCGGGACTGTAGACCTTGACGCAGAACCCAGATCATGGGTCCTGACAAGCTCGTCAATGTAGCTCTCCTGGGATATGGTGTATCCGCAAACACCATGTTCATCAAGCACCTCGAAGATGTCTATTCCGAGAAACCTTAGGGCCTTATGCTGGGTCGCCCGTTCCAGATCGGAACAATCCCATCTATCCCTAATCCATTGGTGGAATGCGGCTGCTACACCTACAGAGCTCAAAATCAAAAGATCATCAACATACACTAGAACGTGTCCTAGTGTAGCTCCATCTTGACCCACAATCTTCCAAAGATTTTCATCACAAGTGGTCTGTATCAGTCGGGCACCTCCTTGTGGTGTCTCAAACTGTGCCTGCGAAAGCTGTTGATCACGAAATTGTGACCACCACTTCGGTGACTCTTTGAAACCATACACTGCACGGCATACTTCCCAGTACTCATCCTCTGAGCATATGCCCAGTGCGATCAAAATAGATGGTGGTTTTAACACATACTTTGTCTTCACTGTGCTTGGAATCGGTGCCAGAAGGAAAGCGCATTTTATGTCGGTACTCCAACATGATCTTCGTCGCCTTCCTGCCAGTATCAACAGGATGCGCAGCGACTCCGCCGCTGCACCGGAGGCGTACAAAACCTCCTCCGACACCTCCTTAGCGTAGTTTCCGCAGGAAACTATCCTGACTTTACGTCGATACGGAGATCCTGGTTTGATCGTGAATACTCCTTTAGCCGGCAGCACCTCAGTGTTAGGTTGCTGAAGAAGTTCTCGCGCTTGCCTTCCTCTATGCCTAACGATTGCTCCCATCCCTTCTAAGGAACCTACTTCATCCTGTGCTGGCTTGGTCCACTTGTCTGGGTTATTACGAACGTCACCAGGGGAGACTTGGTGTATCACCTCGAGAGGGCCTGTCAACCTCTCTAGGAGCGACTCAATGTCCTTTGTGTAAGAAGTTTCTTCTACTTTGCTTATCCTAGGATCCTCCACATCTAGTTCTGCTGATCGAGGAGGTGGATCCATGGAAACCAGGGCCGAAACCGTGGATGGAATAGATACCCCTATCTCTGGGACGGGAGTGGCTAGCGAAGGTGAGTCAAGTGTTGGCAGCTCACCTGTACGTCGCGGATTTCTACTCAGCGGGGGCTTCGGCTCCCAATCTACATGTTGCAGCATGTTGCAGCGGTACTCATCTACCTGGTCAACAGTCGTCTCGTTCCCTGGTGGAGCTGCTCCTTGCTGCCGTGGCGGTTGCCAATCAACTAGAGCATCAAACTCCTCCTGGGACTGAGCATCCCAAATGGATTGCATCCACATGGAGTGCATAGAGTAGGCATTACTGTCAAAAGCCGTGACGTGCTGCGACGCTAGTCCAGTCACCGAGGCTTGCAAGGAACCTGAACTAGAAGATGGAACCCACTGGGAAGGTAGGTTTCCGTCAACATGAAGGACGGCAGAGACCTCCGGAGGTTCTTCTCGTTCATCCCTTGGACCGGTCAGATCCACTGGGTCGCGTTCTGGTGGCAAGACTGGCTCGGGTTGACGATACCCGTTCAGCTCTTGCCAGTCTTCAAGGTATGGGATCGGATCATCAGGTGCAGCTTGAGTATTGATTCCCAGCCCTAGAACCGGAGGTCCTGGAGCATGGTATCCCAAAGTGCGGTTTTGGATCACCCGCGGAATCTGCCGTTGTCCTCGATCAAACAGACAAACCTCTCCAGTGGTGAGGGAAATCATATTGGGATTATCAGGCCTTACAGTTCCAGTGGGGTGGATCCCTGTCATAATTCGTCGTGCATCTTCAAGAGGCAAGCCTAGCTCCACTAAATCTTCAACGTACAGATATGCTAGGTCTGCTGGAGATTCAACTCCCATGAAGGTCAATCGTTTCATGGTCCACTCAACTTCGCGATCTTCCAAAAATTCGTATAAATCCATCTCTTCCAAATTTTCTTGAGGCATGTTGGGTCCTGTTTCTCCGGTAGGATCCCATCCAATCGGGATGGTGTGCGAGTCCTCTTGGATATCCTCCTCTAAGTTCACGGTTGGGAACCTAGGGTCTCTACTAGCCGAGCTGGCAGGCTGTGACCCCCTTGCCCTGTACTCATGGCTACTTGAGGAGGACGCTTCATTTCCCCTTGGGGTGATGCAATCAGGACTAAACCTTAATGCCTTCACTTCTGGCGTGAGGAATGGAAGGTCTGGAAGCACGAAGCCGGATGAGGTCAGATACTCTTTATCCTCCGGCTGGAGCTTGTGGACTCCTAAGGGGGTATATCCCACTAGAACCCAATCCGGGATGCGACGTAGGGCATGATGATGTCGTGCATCAAACACAACGGCCCGGCGCCCCAATGACAGTACCTCTTCCGAATCCCATCTAGGCTGGACCTGTTCTGCAGGTTTCTTCCTTGGCG